TTGACCATTTTTTTTGTTTTTAAATGTAAAGCAATTTTAATATATAGATTTATATATAAAGCACTCCATTTTTCATTTAAAGTCCATTATTTGGTTATTATGTAACTGCTACGGATTTAGAAACAAAGGTATTTTCTCTTCTTCTGAAATCCATAACTTTCAGTGCTTAGAATTGTTTCTTTTAAATCATCCACTTTTTTTTTTATGTAACTCATAAAAATGTACATTAAAATGGCGTGGAGTTGGTACTCTGGAACCCTGGCCTTCCTGAGACAAGATCCACTTTTTCGTGTGTGTGCAAGATAGTGAGCAATTATGTCTTTTTTTTTTTTACTTTTCTTTTCTTGTTTTTTTTTTTATATAAAGGAAAAATATATATAATCAACATAAAACATACAGGCTTCAGATAGTCCATGAAAATCAACATTAACACAGAACAAAGAAGGTTAAACAGAACAAGACAACACTGTTCAATCCCAGAGTTCTGAAAGTAGCACTAAAAATCTTCATTCTGTGAAGTGTTGCACAAAAAAGATGGAAGCATTTGTCCGTTTTTTTCTTTTTCCAACATTCCCATGGTTTTAATTTCTTTTTTTTGTTGTTGTTGATTCTTTTTTTTTTCTGAACTCCAGAAAAAAACAAAGTGTTTGTAAACTGTCAGTGGCCTTGCAGGAAAACAAATGACGACATGAGTGAAACTGAACAAAAAAGTGAAAACAGAACGAAAGCTAACAAACCAAAAAGGTAGGCACCTCTGAAGTGAGCCCTAAAAGCTAAGGCTCAGTCTGATGTCTCGTCCTTCACTCTCTCCGTTGCTCAGATTTGGGAGAGCTGAAGTCCTTCTACCCCAATCTATGGCCACAGGTCTGCAAAATACTTTTTTTGCTGCTTTTTTTTTTTTTTTTATACATATGTGATTTTTTTTTTCAGGTTTTTTTTTTTTTTTTAGGTTTACAGTCTGAAAAATGGTGCAATACTCAATTATGATCCATACTTTCTTGGATTATTCCACAATGAAAGCCACTAAGGTAGATAAACATTACATTTTTAAAAACACACTTATTTTAGTCCTTGAGTAAACATTTACACATGAACTGTCCCCATCTCCCCTCAGTACTTGTATCATGTTGTTCGTTTAGCTGGATGAGGGGTGAGGCCGACACTCAGTGCAACGCTAGAGGCTAGTAACAATTAACATCAGAATATATTTTTGACAAGCAAAAAGAAAAAACAAAAACAAATCAACAACCAAAGTATACTGAATTGAAAAGAATCACAAGGCGGAAATTCCTCCGCTGTAATCACGAGCGCTCATACATTTTGTCATCTCACGCACTACACAGTCATTCATACAACATACAGTACAAGCAGCCTTGTGCAAACACTCAAATACAACAGACGTAAATTTTGCCTTTATATCGATCTTTGTTTTCAACAACACTCGTATTTCAAATTTAATTCACTCTGAACCGATGCTATCAAAAATCTCTGAAGTGTATGAATGAGACAAAAAACCACTACAAAAAGTGTTCACATTACATTATTGGCGCTTCTTTTGATTCAAGTATTTGTTTTTCATTATTTTGTATTACTCTGATATGTTTATGATCTTGTCTTCTGGGAAATATAATGTTGAGGAGGATACACAGGATAGGGCTGAAGGCAGGGCAGGGGAGGGGAGGGGGCTTAGGCTAAGTGGAAAACAGAGAAATCTAGCCATATACACACATACAACCATTATGTACTCTTGGTTGTATACTGTATATAAACTAGCATGTGCATATTCAACCCAGGCCTTTGTTTTTTTTTTGTTTTTTTAAAGAGAGATTTGCTAATTCAACTCTTTTTGGGGGCCCCTGCCCCACACCCTTGTCTGATCCATGATTGAGAAGCATATTTTGCTCAAGCATCAGTTGCCTTTGAGTCTGTGTGACTTCGAAAAAAGAGGGAGAGCATCTGATTTCCAACACTAGACAGGTAGATAAGAGTGCAGGCGAGGGGTGGTGTGGGAGGGGCCGGGGCTCTCAGTGCTGGTGCTGCGCCAAGAAATCCAGGGCACATCTGAGACTCCACTTCCGTCCCAGTCACCCGTCCTCCCACTCTATTCGACTCCCCGCTTTCGACGCCAGTTCCTTGATTCAAGTCCAGTGTGGAGTAAATGCAGGTTTTCAGGAACGAACAAAAACACGCAAACAGACAACACAGGCAATAGTGATTGTTTTGTTGAATGATGCGAGTCTAAAGCGACTCTGGAAGAGGGCAAATCCCGAAAGTGTTAAGACTTGGTACCAAACATGAGGTGTGTCCCTATTTCTGCTGATACGCTGGGCCCCTGCGTGAACCCTGACCCCAAAGCCAGATGTGCAGAAATGACCTGTTATATATATATATAGGCTGGCGCGGCCTTCAGGTTGGAGGTCCAAAATGAACCATCTGGAGACAGCTTCCCCAAATGTGACCCAGAGAATGAGCCCAGACGGGGTGAGAAGGCGGCAGCTTGCAGAAAAAAACAGATCACAGGCACCTCAGCCTCCGAGTGCACAGCTTTTTTTTTTGTAGTTTCTAGTTTTTGCGAAAACCTTGACGATAAAGAAAAAGATGTTTTTGGTTTTTAAAGAGATGTACCCGATGTGACCCATAAACAGTGCACAGACACATACAGGGACCACCAACACTCCCCCCCCCAATCCACCTGCAGCCTGGTTCTCCACTAAAAAGTTCCAGTCCCCTGTTGGCCCCGAAAGACCAGCACCATTCATCTGTCCTGCCCTTCTACTCCTTAGGCCTCCTACAGCTGGAGCTTGTGGTGTACGCCCCCCGCAGCAATAAAAGAAACTTAAGTCTCATCACGCTAAAGATAAATTAGGATATGGCAAAGTGGAAGTAGATATTTGTAGATCAGTTGGCACAAGACTGAAGAAGTGACTCTGTTTGCCAACCACTAGTGCCTCCAGCAGGTCATTTAGTGTCATCTAGTAGCTCTTTCCACACAGTGGGAGACTAAACCCTTGACGAGAGGCTTTTTCAGTGTCCCTTTCGTTTTATCCAGGAGGGCTTGGGGGGGTTCCAAGGGAAGCTGCCTGGTAGTAAAGGTTTGAGAGATAAGTGAAGATGTGGGGGATGGCTGTGATTTTCTAGATGGCTGTGAAAGAACACCCCCTTGTCTTTGCATAGAAATGGAAGGCTGTTATCAGTTGAGGTGGTTCTAAGTGTAACTGAGTGCTCCCAGAGTCAAACATAAAGCACCAGTGTGAGTGAGGCCCATCAACACTAAAAAGGATGTGTGTGTGTTATGAGACAACATAGAGTGGAGGTTGGTGCCCCAGGATGGACAGAAGAAGTTGGCTCACTATCCTGGAGAACCTTTGACTACACAAACCTTTCCCACTTAATTTGACTCTTCAAACCCCCCGCCCCCCGTCTGACTCCAACAAGCCCACATACAGAACTCCCTCGCAGGCCCTTTTCTACTGAGATCTGCAGTATTTCGTATTGGCCTGGCTTGCACGGCTGAGGCGTACCTCTACAACGACACACTGCTTTCTGCCTCGGAGGGCAGTGGGAGGGGCAGGAGAGAAGCTGAACACTGCATAAAGACCAATATTAAAAAGCCATGAAATCATCATCAGAAAAACAATCATTATCTATATCATCAATGATAACAGCAACAATATCAGCAAACTTTCCTGACAACAATAAAATAAAAATGCACACTGGCAATTCCAAAAAACAAAACAACACATCAAACGCCTCCATCTCTGGCTAAAGTGATCCTTGCAGGAGAGAGACAGAGAGAGCGTGGAGTTGGAGGTTGCTGAGGACAGACTCTGGCGCAGCAGTAGTAGTAAATTTGATACAGGTGGGCCAGTTCTGAAAGAGCTGCTCTTGGCCTGGAGGCCGGGGGAGGAGAAGGAGGAAGCCAGTCTGTAGGGATCTGTAGGGATCCGCAGGGAGGCAGCGAGCGAGCGGGAGGGTGGGGTGAGGGCTGCTGCAGAGCACTGCACTCTGCAGCAGACAGGCACTCAGTGGCCACACTATCACACAGGTTGGCAGGGCCTTCAATATATAGAAGAAAAAAAAAAAAAAAAGGACGAAAAAAGATGGCGATCCTCCCTGCAGGACCCAGTAGAACATAAACACGTCGAGCGTTTCCAGACACCAAGGCTAAAGATTTCAAAGTATGCAATGTAACAGTGATATTTACTTTGATAAAGAGAGTGAGGAATGAGTGCTTTGGGGTCTTTTTCCCTGCTGCACCCATCATCAGTTGAGTTAGTTCTTTCTTTGTATTTCCCTTCACTTTGCTACCATGTTTGACATCCTTCCTGGTCCCACTGACTTGAGGGAAGAAGGATTGAAAAAAAAAAAAAAAAAACATCTTCACATCCTTGTTAAGTTAAAAACTAAGTATGTAGAGAAGCCACTAAGCAGATTGCTTTTTTGTCCTTGTTTATTTTTCAGTTTTTATTTGCCAGTGTTGCTTCTCCTTTCTTCTATTTGTTGGCATTAAGGGTATAACGAGCTGCGACGCTCTTGCTAAGTGCTATGATAGACCACCTATTCACAAATTTTTGCTTCACCCTTTTCTACCTAAGCAAATTTGGGCAAAAAGAAAAAAAAAATCTGGTCTTCTGGGTAAAAAGGAAAACAGGCTCCTCTCATTTTGGTTTGATGCCTTCTTCCCAAGCACACACACACACGCACGCACGCACGCACACACACACACACACACACACACACACACACACACACACACACAAACGAACGTACAACAGAATCTCTCTCACACACATCACACACACACACACACACACACACACACACACACACCTGTCCCTCCTTCCAGCCCCCAAACTATCCACCTGCATAAGTGTGGAGAGTAAGCGGCTGAGAAGTGCTT